TGTGATGATAGCACGCTAAGAACCAAAGCTTATCTCAGGCAGGCTGTTCGAATGGTCATTACGAAATTTTCTGATAACTGTCGAACAAAAATTTCATTTCGCTAGTAAAGCACTTCCCTTCCATTCTAACCTGTGTAATATGTGGATGTTAATCTATCATTCTTCATATTCTTATTGAAGTATAGGAGTTTGCAGGTTAAAATAGGTCTCTAGCCATGAATAGTGTTCGAGTTGTGAATGCTGTGCAACATTACAGCAAGAAAAACTTGTACGTATATAGATATAAGGTTATACGCATCATTCATCGCCACATGTTTACCTGTTATACATTATACTAACGCATCGATTGAATAGTAACATATTCAACGTAAGACTTCAAGTCAGACTTCATCTTAATTTCTTAATCAGGAAATTATAATACCAATCAGGTATCTTTATAAGTTCTACGAATCATTGAGCATGAACATATGAAATCTACATCTTGTTTGTAACCTTATTACATAAGTCCAAGCAATTAAACCATTCCTATTTCACAAGAATAGAAGAAGCGCACTAACTCTCTACTTTAAATTGTATTCTCTACCAATGGTTTTGCTTTGACATTCGTTTAATTCGCCTTGTTCCTTAATCTCGCTTTCCATCTTCCTGTTATTGCCTTTAACATTTACCATTGTTTAAATATGCTTCTCTTCACAACTCCAAACTCCGATAATTTGCACTTACAGTCAAACTCATTATTCAAAGATTTTCTTTATCGATAGAAATACCCATTCAATTTATTTAGATGGCAGAATGGTGCGCTGAAAATCTCAGAGATGTCGAGGTGAGGCCTAACACTTTACTGATATACGGCAGTACAAATTATTTTAGCCAAATTTTGTGTACTTACTCGCTTTAGTTTCTCTGTTCAATCGCACTCTTTTCTCATAAAAAAAGAAATTGAAAGAATAAACTTCACTGAGCTACATGACTCCTAATTAGAAAAGTCCATCTATGAATGGCTATTTAGTAGAATTTAATAATTTGATGCTATCTCAATTCAAAAGGAAATTAGGCAGGGGTAAAGAAGAGAATTTTATCCATTAATTTTGTTTGGCACTGAAGAAAGGCAGAAGTCGTATATCATGTTTCTCATACAGTTATTGTGAAATTAGGGTTGGCGCAGCTCTGGTCTACCTTTGTCAACTTCCTCAAACGAATGTGCCAAGCTGTTCGACGCAGGAGTCCGCCAATTCGTCTCTTGGACAGATTGTAAGCAGTTAGATGGACTTGAGAAAACCATGGAAAGTATGACTGCTGCTGACCCTACAGCAGGTAACTTTTTAACGATGACTTTTACAAAAACTTTCGTAGACAAAGCTTACTTTCAGTACTGCCTCGTGCGTTCAAACTGGGTCTTGATGCCATTGGAACAGGGGTTGGCGCACGAACTAATGAAATATTAAGGAGATCCTTAGATGAACTACAAGCAGATGCTAACAGATATGGAAATGATAGAGAGAAACTGCATGCGAAAGCTGTGCAGCAGTT